TTAAAAACTTATTTTTCTAATTTTAAGGGACGAATTTGTTTGACATCTGATATGTGGACTTCTTGTCATCAACAGGGCTATCTTTGTTTAACTGCACATTATATTGATGCTGATTGGAAATTATGCAAACAAATTATATCATTTAAAATGGTTGAGTCTCCTCATACTAGTTATATAATAGAAAATGCATATTAGAATCTCTAGATAATGCTAGTAATAATGATATAGCTACTTCATTTTTAAGTCATTATTTGAAATCACCACTAGGCATTAATTTTCGTATTCGTTGTTATGCCCATGTGTTTAAATTTAATTGTACAGGATGGTTTGTCGATTCTTTTTTATTCTATTTCAAAGTTAAGATCTTTAGTTCGTAATATTAATAGTTCTCAATTTAGACATGAATTATATTTTAAATGTTGTAAACAATTAAACAAAAAGAGAAGAAATATTAGAATTGATTTACCTCATAGATGGAATTCAACATTTGAAATGTTGAAAGTGGCAGTAGCATATAAAGAAGTTTTAGATTTGTATTGTATTGAATTGCATAATAGTTCTCATCATGTAAATATTGTACAACTTACTGAGCTTGATTGGAGATATGCATCAGTTGTTCGAGATTTTTTAAATGTTTTTGATACTTCGACAAAATATTTTTGTTCGGTATATTCTTCTAATATTTGTCAAGTTATACCAAATTTACTTAATATTTGCTTTATATTTAAGAATTATTCAAATGTAGACTTATTTAAATCTGTGATTGAAAAAATGAAAGAAAAGTTTAATAAATATTTTGATGATTTGCATATTACGTTTTTGCTTTGAATGTTTTTTGATCCTAGATATAAAAATCATTTTTTTGATACTTATTTAGATTTGTTGTTCGATAGTAATACTGATAAAATTAATGATACTATAAATTCATTTAATTCTAAATTATATGAGATATATGATTTTTATAAGAAAACGGTAAATAATTCTACTGCTACTGTTGGTGCATCTTCTTCTTCATCTACATATTCAATAAATCTTGATAATTTCTCAACATCACATTTAAATGTTGCCATGATACTTTCTAAAAAGAAGAAAATTGATTCTTCAAAAAATTTTGAAGCTCTTGATTTAAAAAATTATATAGATTTACCCACAATATCTATGGATACTATTGAACCTTTTAATATTTTGGATTGGTGGAAATTATATGAAAATACTTATCCCGTACTCTCTCTTATGGCACGGGATATACTAACAACTCCTGCTTCGACTGTAGCATCAGAATCAGCTTTTAGTGCAGGTGGTCGAGTTATATCAGACACTAGAAACAGCTTATCACCTTCGACCGTTGAAGCATTAATATGTCTAAAAGACTGGGGTCTAGCGGAGAAAAGAATGCAGGAAGAAGAAAATATTAAAAAAAAGTGGCTGAAGAAATGAAAAAGTTGAAATCATCGGTGTTGGAATTTAAGGACAATAGTTCTTTCGAAGAATGTTTTTTTTTAATATTAGATTTCATTGTATTTATTTATTTTATTTGAGAAAATGCACATGATTAGCAAATGAGTAGGTGCCAACCTAGTTGGGATGTACTCATATTGTAGTGATGCAATAATTCTCAAAACAAAATATAAATAAACAAATAATAAAAGCATCTATTATATTTTTTTGTCATTATTTTTTTGTAGTTTTGTTTAGATAGGTTTATATTAATAAAGTTAAAAATTATAAATTTAATTTTAAAAATAAAAAATATAATTTTTAAAAATAAGGCAACTTAAATTTGTAACATATGACATAATAAAATTTATAAGATTATAAAAAGAACAAAAAAAATGTACCAAAAATTATATAAAAACACATATTCTAGAATTTAAAAATAAAAAACTTAGTTTGGAAATTATTTAAATTTTAAAATTTAATAATTAAAAATATATTAATATACGGGCCGATCCAAGCCCGATCCAAAAGGCCGATCCAAACCCGATCCAACTTTGGCTCATCAACTTAGGCCCATGGATTGGGCTATGAGCCTAAGTTTGAGTGGTTGGGCCGGCCCAAGCCCAACCCAAACAATACTTGAGGCCCGTAGGGCTTGGGCCTGAGCCAAGCTTGGGCCATTACTTCTTTGGGCTGGGCCGGATGATGAGGCCGAACGTCATGGTATGTACTAGACCAAATATTGCTTATGTTGTTGGTGTTGTTAGTCGGTTTATGTCCAATCTAGGAAAACAACATTGGGAAGCAGTAAAATTGATCATGAAATATTTGCAGGGTACTTCCAGTTTGAAGCTCACTTTTGGAAATGGAAATCCAGTGCTTGTCAGTTACACTGATTCAAATATGGCATGAGATTTAGATAACCGAAAGTCTACTTCAAGATATTTGATGACATTTGCAGGTGGTGCAGTGTCATGGCAGTCAAGATTACAAAAGTGTGTTGCACTTTATACAACTAAGGCAGAATATATTGCAGCAGCAGAGGCGTGCAAGGAGATATTGTGGATGAAGCGATTTATATAGGAGCTCGGCTTTCAAGCAACAACAGTATGTGATATTCTGCAATAATCAAAGTGCTATTCATCTTTGTAAGAATTCAACATTTCATTCGAGAACGAAACATATTGATGTGAGGAATCACTGGATGAGAGATGCTCTCAATGATGGACTGTTTGAACTTGAGAAGATACGTACTGATCGTAATGGATCTGATACGTTGACAAAGAATCTACCGAGAGAAAAACTTAAGTTTTGTCGTTCCGTTGCTAGGATGACAATTTCTTTCACACAGTGAAAATGGGGAGATTTGTTGGATATTTTTCACATGTGTGAAAGCCCAACAACTTTAAGGCCCACATGGGCCATTATGTTTAGGGTTTATATATATATATATATATATATATATATATATATATATATATATATATATATACAGCTCAATATAACAATTGAGGAGAGAGAGGAAAGAGTCTCTCCATGCAGATCGAGGAGAGAAAACATAAAAGAAAAAGAAAAAGAAATTCATTCTGTACAGTAACGTTTTTTGCATGATCCGAGGTCGATCCGTGGTCCGATCGAGGTGAAATTTTGACAGCATGTTTGTTTGCCGAGATTTATTGTCTCGAGATATTATTATTGTATGTCTCTAGTTGTTGCTAGGGAGGACCTTGGTGTACCTATTATTGATTATAGTGGAGATTTTGACTTCGGTCCGTGGTTTTTTACTCCTCACATTGAGGAGGTTTTTCCACGTTAAAATTGCTTGTGTCTTATGCTTGTTTGAATTATTATTTTTACTTGCTATTTCCTATTAGGTTCACACAAGAGGGGATAATTGGTCCATAAATTTAAGTGTTTATCCCAACAGAGACAAAGCAAGAATGAAAAAAAGGTTTGAAGCACAAACTTTTCAGTCTTGTTTTTGTGTAGGATGGGTACTAAGTTCGAGGTGGAGTGTTTTGATGGTAAAGGAGATTTCGGTCTCTGGAAAATCAAAATGATGGTCGTGTTAAGGCAACAGAAAGTTGACTACGTGCTAATAGATCCTAAGAAAATTTCAGCAAATGTCAACAAGGACAAAGATAATCTTAAAGAAATGGATAGGGTGGCCATAGCTTGATCATCCTCCACTTGACAGACAGTGTCATACACCAAATGCATAGTGAGGACACTACAAGTAAGCTTCGGAAATGTTAGAAACTACATATCAAGTAGCATCCATTTCAAATAAAATATTTATAAAATCTAGATTCTTTAGTTTTAAAATTGAAACTAATAAAAGTCAGGCTGGCTACTTTTTTTGCTAGAAGAAGAGCTGGTGATTGGTGGGAGTCGGTTCTAGTGAAACAACCAGGATTTGAAGAATCACTATAAGAAAGTTGAGTATTTTCAAAGGTCACAACCTTTGAAAAAGTATAAAATAAGCTTTCGATAAATCTTTTTTCGAAGGTTCACTCAGCCTTCAAAAAGTGTCGAAATAGATCCCATCAAAAAACCTTTTTTGAAAGTTTTCTTATATGTCCCATCAAAAAACCTTTTTTGAAAGTTTTGTTAACCCTCGAAAATTCATATTTTTCAAAGGTTCAGTTAGCCTTCAAAAATTTATATTTTTCAAAAGTTATAAGCGTTCGATAATTCTTAAATTAGTTGTCAATAATTAGTTAATTTAAATTACTTTTTTCGAAGGTTTTCATTATTTTCCAAGGATCATAATCTTATCTCCAACCATCTTTAAACCTTCAAAAAAAGTTCTTTATTGACAATTGTAAATCCTTCAAAAAAAAATCAAATAGAATAATAGCATTTGAAATTAATATTAATTTAATATTATTTGTTTGGAAAAATGAAATTACTTTTCCTAGTTAAAATTTATAATTTCAAAACTATATTCAACAGAAGTAAAATATTATTTACTATAACCAATAGTTACTGCAAAAACAATCAACAAGTAGTCACGATATTTCTAAAACTAATCCAAATAATACAAATACTTCAAATACCTAAAACAAAAAAATTTTCTAACCCCTACATTATGATGTTTTTCGCATCATCTAAACCATCATTGCTTGAAATCGATGCTCAAAACGATTTTCAAATTCAATAATTTGATCTTTGAGTCCTTGTACCTCAATTTTTCTTTACCGTTCAAATTCTTGAAAACGTTGTTCTGACTCGTTAAGGCGTCGCTCAAAATCATGAACTTTGAAAGATGATCTAAACAACTTAGAAGGAGTAACACCAACTCCATAACCTCGAACACACCCATGTTTCTCTAGTCCAAAGACTTGCACAAAAATCTCGTCATTGTTCATGTCAAGTGTACTATCAGTCACTTAAGAGGCATATGATTTGAGTTCTGACTAAAGATATAAATAAAAAGTTTAAAGACGAAAATAAGACATTTACTAGTAACATGAAAGTAATACCGAGTAAAAATTGCAAAACAAATATCAAAGAAGATCATCTCAAATATTGCTCAAGAAATATCAAATTGCAACGAATGGTTTGCAAGAGATTTCAAATTGGTTTTAAACATTTAAAAGATATCAAGAACACAAAAGATAACACAAGGATCAAATCAAGGAGGGCCCCCCTTAAATTAGATCTCACTCTAACCTCCAAAGATAAAACTAGCGTTGCACCCCTTGTTGCCACCCAAGCCTAACACATTCATTCAATCCACCATCATTCGCATCAACCCTGTCATTCTATCTGATTTCTCGGGACGACCCTGAAATTAATTATTTATTATTCCTCTTTACTTTACTTAACAGTAACACACATATGGTTGTTATTACTATCCTCCTACTATGCTTCCACTCCCAATTATTTCATTATCACTTCACACCTCACTTCTAAGTTGTACCACACAAACAAATAACTCTAACTTTAATGCACAATACACCATATTTAACACAGTCCCACAATGCACCACATCTACTCAAATCCAAAAATCAAGTTTAGAAGGCAAGCAGCAGAATATGAGCCGAATATACAATTATAACTCAACATTAATCATCTTTTACCAAAAAACCAGGTTAACTAATTGCTACACAAGACAAGAATCATTTTAACTTATGAAATATAAACTCATATAATGTACTTACCAATTTTTCTTATGTAGTTTCATTCACCATCATCCCATCGTTTCTCAAATGAGTTATCTCCCAAATTCTTATGCATGTTCATTATTAGTGTCACAACCTATTTAAATGAAAAATACATATTAGATGATTGTACTAGATTAAAAGAAGTTTATGTGATTATTCATTTACCTCTTTATTAACCCTTTGTTGTATACTTTGTGAACCGCATGTGTGATATACGTTCAATTTAGAACGGTTCACTTTGTTCCTTTCACACATCTACTACATTTCAAAAATAAAAAATGAAAATGATTACCATTTAAAGAGATAAACATATTTTTGTTATATGTACAAGAAAACAAGTTTTAGAATATAACTTGATATTCAGTTGCTTCCACAAGTTTGCAAGATATTCTGCATCTTCTCTTGTAATTTCTTGTGGAAAATTAGTCAAAGCTTGTGCAATTGTATCGTATTTGTACAACCATTTTTTCTTCAAGCTATCTCTCCAATTATTATAAGATCGATTAAGTTGATGTAAAACAGAAGTCTCATGGCTTTCGACTTTAAATCGCTCCTACGTGGAAAAAAACAATGGCAATTAAAGCAAGTAATAAGTAAATAAAATAAATATTAAGTTTTTATATCACATACTAATGTAAGCTCAAATAGTTTTCTTTTTCTTGTCAGGTCAATATCTCTCCAACTTTTCACTTGTAGAGGTGTAAAGTTGACTTGTTGAGCCAAATAGTGCATTGGCTTTTGAAAATATCAGCATTATCTCCAATTGGTCTTTTGTTCCTCCATGATACTTCAAATCTAATTTCATGAGGTCGATACACTATAAGAGAGACTTATAGATAGCATGAATGAGTAATGGTTGTAAAAAGATATCAATGTCATTACCAGCACCTTTAGGTCCAGGAATGAGTAATGATAGTATGAAATAAGGCTCTTTCATACACATCTATGGTGGCAAATTATACGGAGTAAGAATGACAGGCTATACACTATAATAGAGACTCATATTTCCAAATGGATTAAATCCATCACTGGCCAAACCAAGTCAAACATTCCGAGGCTCTGTAGCAAATAAACTATATGATTCATCAAGTGTTTTTCAGGCTATAAAATCAGCAGGATGCTTAAAAACTCCATCATCTACCTGTCCACTAAAATGTCATGTCATACTTGATGTTGTCTTTCTTGACATATATAATATTTTTAATCTTGGAGTTAGAGGAAAATATCTCAAAATCTTTTGTGGAACCTTCTTCTTGTTTTTTAATAAGAACTTTTGAACCTTCTTCTTCTTAGAGGTTTTTTCTAGCTTCTATCTAAGATTCTTCACAAACTGAACATTGATCTGCCTGCGACAGATCAAGAAATTGAATTTCAATTATTTGTGGAAACATATAAATTGGTAGAACCATTGATAAAAGAAAGAGATGTTGTATATGAATCACTCACATATTCTTCTGAATTATCCTTGCAAACAATAACGATCCTTCCCCATATGGAGTTCGGAACCCAAAGGCAATCGTTGAGTGAACTGTATCTTGCATTTTCCTTCTAATATAGCATGCAATTGTTCAAGCATGCATCTTTCTTAGAGTACATAAGTCCTAGGTCCCTAATGATCTTTCTTGTCTCATAGTAATTATTAGGTAGATTAGTGCCTCATGGAAATACATCTTTTAATAAGTTGAGTAATAAAGTAAATGATTTATTACTCCAATTTCCAAGACACTTTAGGTGAAACAATTTCATAATGAAAGACAACTTATAATATCTCTTACACCCAGGATAAAGTTTCTTTTCTGCATCATTTAACAACCTATAAAACTTAGAAGCTTCTTCATTTGTTCTTCATTATAACTATATTTACTTGATTCTCCTTTCTCGGTCCAATTATTGGTGTTAAAAACACCAAAGTGATTCTCTAATATCTAAAAAATATCTTCTTCACCAGAGCCATTATCATTTTCTCCTAATCCTTATGATAAATTTTCTTCACCATGCGTTGTCCATCGAGTGTAACTTAGAACTATCCCAAACATTAACAAATCTGCTTCAACATCCTCACGAGTTTTAAGTATTGCATTATTGCATCTCTTACATGGACAAGAAATCTAATTGGATGTCGTATGCATAAATGCAAAATCTGTAAAGCTTCTTACTTCATTTCTATATTCTTGCAATGCTCGATTTCCAATTTCCATCCAACTTTTATCCATGTTATACAATGAGCTTGTGATAAGAATAATGTGACACGCTTCTATGTTAAAGTAAACGACTACCTAGAAAACAAAAATAGATCTTAAGCTAAAAAATAAATTAAGTAAATAGAAATTAATATCACACAAAACATAGCATAAAAAGAGCTAACTCAGCTATTCAGTGACAAGACCAAAAAGAGATCAAACATCTTAGGATTTCACTCATTCTTATCAAAAGCATTGAAATTGAAATCCATTGATTTGAGACAGCCTTGAAATTTCAACTTAGCTCCTATGTCTTTAATAATTTCACTATTGTACCTATAATTTGCTCAAGGATAATTTCCAAATCTAAGAGGTAAGTGATTAAAAAAAATCAAATTTACGTAACCCTTAAAATAAGGTTACCCTCAGTATTAGCTCTAGTAAAGAATAATATATATATATACTCACAAATGAGACAAAATGAAACAAATGAGAGCATAAAAGCGTATATAATGAAACTTTATGTAGGATTGCTTTATAGTGAAGCCAGTTTCATGTTCAGTTGGTAGAATGAGAATTATGATCTCATATTACTTAAACCAAATACATAAAAATTCCAAAATCAGATCAGTCAAAATGGCTACAAGTACAATAACAATACACAAACACTTTATTGATACAAAGAGAAGTGAACTAATTTCGAAGACTTTTTCATTCAAAAGCATTCAAAATCTGGTGGCTATTTCTATTCAAATGTTAATGTTCCTCAACCCCCGATACCTACTTGTTCTTCCAAACAAAGCTTTCAAATTAATGCCAGTGTTCATACTAGAATTGCAACCCACAACAAAGAGAGGGAGAGAGAGGGAACAAATACAAGAAGTTATCTCAAGCTTTTCAATTTTGTATGTGATTTGAATGAGATCTCTATTGACAATTTATCCTCAAAAAGATCTATTTGTTGTAGTTGTAGCAAAAATCCCTAGATACAAGAGGAAAGGAAACAAAATTCCATCAACAAAGAGCACACACAGGAAAATGAAAACAATGCATTTCATTTCAGAATCAAGTACTAGAACCTTTTATTTTTCTTTAATGTTAATGAGCCTATACATTATGGGTTCGTTCTGGCCTTACAATGCGACTAACAATTTTGAACACTAACCTTCTAGGTTTAACAAAAAACAACTGCATTAAACTTTCTAATTAAGAAGCTCGAAGTATAGAGTACTCCGCCAAAACAACATTACAGCAGCCAAGTAACAAAGAAATTAATTGAAAATATATAACATAGTGATCATATCTCACTTGTAGTGGGAACTTCTATTGTTTAATTTTATCTCTGTTAAACTTCAAGGCATGAATCTTCTGTCAAGAATATAGCGATCATTGAAATTTAAGTACCAACCGGAAGAGTTAGATTGAAGATAAATTCGATCATGGTTGATATGGAGAGAATTTCGTACCTCAAAATATAAAAGCACAAAATAGTTTGATGGTTCAGCTTGGATAGATATTCTCAGCTTTTGTTCAATGGTTTCGCATCAATTTTTGCTAAAAATCGACCCAAACAGACCGGCTTACACATCATATAACACAGTTGCATCTTATAGATATTAAATCATAAATCAACCCAAAAGCTTAAGACTAGAGAAAGCAAACATACGTATTTTCAGGAGACAACTCTGGCAGTTCCTCATCCCTAGTATTTTCAGTCAACTCATCTTGATTAGCCTCCTGTTTTGCCTTATTAGCAATTTCTTTCAGCTGCCCAATCACCGATAGAAAATGGGAGTGGTCTGCAAAAAACTCGATTGTTAGACCATACCCAAACCAAAAGTAGGTATTTCACAATCAAAAGAATCTTTGTGATCTAAGCAATTAAAAATGTTGTGCATAGAATCACTAAGTATCACTTTTTCTACCATACTACTCTCATTCTCATTTACTTCATGTACTACTTTGTTACTAATGGGAATATAAACTTCATGCATGGTTTCACACAACATGTCTTCTTCTTTCTCACCACACTGTTCCTCAATAATAGGTAAGATGTCATGCAACAACTTGTAATCTATGGGATTAGGAATTTCATGTTTAGATTCACAAGTTATTTTATATTCAACTAAACCACTTACCTTTTCAACAATAGGCATAGAATCATGTAATACTTTGCAATCTAATGAAATAGGATCAACATGCATATTATCACAAAGCATCTCATCAATCATCTTACTTTCTTCCTTATCAATAGAATTTAAGTCATGCAATACTTCTCTAGTACTAGTAGTAGGCATTCCATACATAGTTTCACAAAGTATATCATGCTCATTAATTTCTACCATTGGGACTAAAGTAGGTACACTAACCTTTCCAAAATTTGGAATTACACGAGGAATAGGTTTAGGGTCAACATACCTCGATGATTCTCTTTGATGCCTTCTCTCGACTCTTTTGGCAAGGTGCAACATTTCTTCCAACCTAGTACAAGGTCGAATTTCTTCTTTTTCCACAATCACCTTGGCAATCTCTCCATTGAGTCCATTGAAGAATCGATCCATGTTGGTTTCCTCATCTTCATATATGTTAAGCTCCTCAAGCAATGAGCACATCTCGTCGTAGTAAGCTTCAACACTTTTGTCCCTTTGTCTCAAGTTTTTCAACTTGACTAATGACTTAGGAACAAATTATCTCCTCATTAATGGCTTGAGTTCTCTCCATGAGGTGATTCGACTTTCTAGATTCTTTTTCCTATTAAAAAACAAAGCATCCCACCATGTTATAGCATAATCTTTAAAACAAGTAGTAATAAGATTTTTCTTGATGCTTTTACTCCAATGGTGTTTTGCAAAGATGCTCTCGATTTGGTCCTCCCAATGAAGATATTCTTGTTGCTTTGTACTTCCATGGAACTTAGGAAGTTTAGGAGTTGTGTGTCCAAGGTAGCCACTAGTATGGTGATCTTCACTCATTTGATGAGTTACATTAAAGATATGGTTATTATAATTCTCGCATCGTGGACTTGTTCCTTCTCCTTGAGGTTTGTGAGATTTTCTTTGTTGCTCCATAACTACACAAGTAAAGGTTAGTATAAACAAGGAAAAATTATTCTTACTCCCTTACTTAACCTCTCGGCTTCTCTCCTTTGGTAGGGTGGATATTGGTGTGGATACCTTTTGGAGATGCTCACTTGAATGCTCATGGCGAATCGGTCTTAGAACAAGTGAGTATAAGTCTACAAGCAACTTGCAAAAAAATATCCCTTTTTTTTTTTACTAGGGATCAATGGTATAGAAGACACCAAAGACAAGACTAAAAAGAATACCAAATGATAGTTATAAATGATTCTAAATGATATTATGAAGTATAAGGCTAGATATAAACAAGATGGATAAAGACAACCTTAAGTCTAATGCTCTTGGTTCAAAAGACTCAACTACAATATGCAAATTGAAGTTAAAGTTAAAAAAAGAAAGAAATATGAAAACAAAATCAATGAAATAAAAAATAAACTAAAAAGATGTACAAAATCATATTTGTAGTGCAAACACACACAAAAGTAAAATTACCAACAAAACAGTGGACTTTGCGGTAAATGGGGTAGCTTTGGGCGAGGGGTGTGTGATGTATACAATTTGGATGGGGCTCCAACCAGTGGTAAATGTTAGCACAACAAGTGTACTTAGAGTGTATAGGCTGCCAAAAGGTTTGGATTTCGTTGGAGAGGGCTGCTCTCTCAGAGAAAATTCTGGGGTTGCACAATGGACTCTTTCGGGTGGTCCAGTGGAGGTGGCGGCTGTCCTCCTTCTTTTGGGCTCTCCAATTAGGTCAAAGTAATCCAACAATAATTTTAAATCAATGTATAATTAGTGTTAGAATTATTTGTCAAAATGAAATACATTTGGACAAGATTTGATAGTCCAAATAATTTTTCCAAAAAACGTCTAGCTTCAAATATGGAAAGTTTTTTGCTTGGACACCTTCTCTTCTTTGGTCGATAACTTCGGCTACAGACCTTTGTTGGCGACAATCTATATGTTCCTGGAAAGCTCTTTCAAAGACCTTTAATTTAGTACTTGATTTGACTATATTCAGTAAAAAAGTTGGCAAGATATCAATCGTTGAAGTTGGGACACTGTTTCTTCGGCGGCTGCAAGATTTCCAAAATGTGCAGTGTTTTCAAAAAAGCGATAACTTTGAAACCACTTATCGAAAATTATCGATTCTGTACTCTATGAAAAGCTAACACATAGATCTTTAGAATGGCACTGGTTTCACTCAATTTGGACTCTGAGCAAAAAGTTATGGATTTTTAAAGTTGGCGCTGGTTTTGTGCTCTCTGCAGGTTTCTCTCAATTTCTGGGGTTCCAAGAAAAGTTGATAACTTTGGCTATAGGGCTCGGATTAAAGTGAGACTTGGTTTGTTGGAAAACTTTTCAGGTGCAGAACACAAACAAACAAGTTTTGGACACTTTAAAGAAATTTTCAAAATAAAAAATTCTCTTGCAAGATAGATAGATGGAATGGCACGCGGAAGACAAGAACAATGGAATTTTTTTGTAAGATTTTTGAATAAAGGAATGTAAAGACAATGACAAGAATTTAAAGACAGAAAATAAACATATATCTCGGTCTAAAGCCTAAGCTCTGATACCAAATAATACGCGACAACCCAAGCGTATTGAGCTACTCGATCCACAAGTCACTTGAATCCAATCGTAGAGATGGTTCAACCCGAAAGGTCAAGGTTAGAGGGATTATCTTTGCAGTCGTTACCTTGAGCAGATTGAATACTCACTATGCTCAAGGCCGAAAACACTCCACGAGTTTGATGACCAATCAAACAAGCATGCTCTGAGGGTTAAAACACGAAAAGTCTAAGGTGTTTTACAATGAGGGGGTACCAGCCTATTTATAGGCTAAGGCTCATGACCTTTTAAGGAAAATAACAAAATTAAAAAGAAAATTAAAAATGATAAATTCTTAAAATGTAAAAAACTTGCCTAAATTTGAATTTTAAAAATGATAAATAAAACAAATAAATCAAAGATAAAATCCTAAACAAATCCACTAAAAATAATCCGAAATCTTTTTCTTAAAAGATATGGAATGGGTGGCAAAGCAAGTTGGGGGCACCCATGAAGGGTGGCAACATCAAGTGGTGGGAGCCCATGGAGTTGTGGTGCGCACGCAAGGAAGTTGGCGTTGGGCGAAGGCGGCATTGACATGGTGTGTGTGGTGTCACAATCGCACTTTCCAAAGAACTCACGAAGCGATTGTGCGGCACTTGCTCTTGCCCACGAGCAAATCAGCCAACGAGAATCAGATAGTCGGCGGCACCACGGCTATATATCGCAACCTCCACC